CTTTGTTGTTCTTGTAGAAAGATGACTTCTCAGTGTCTTTTGAAAATGGGACTTGTACGCTTAAGTCACCAGGTTACTCTGAGCCTTTCTACTTCTGTGTTTTTAACAGCCCTTTTCCCTTCCAAAAAGCCTTTGAAAGCTAAATTTCTACTAGAAGAACTAGTAGGGGAAAATCCTAAAATTAAACTGCTTAACTCCAAAGAAAGTGTCTTGTTAATTAGAAAAAAAAAGAAAGCTCCTTAGACTTCAGAACTTTAAAGAAGGGGAAAAACTAGCTAGCAAGTATAACATGAAACAATGAATCTGTGGAACCTGATGACACGAGATGTAGGTACTGCAGCTGTTTCTTGCCTCCTTCCAACATCTACTTCATGGAATTGAAATGGACTTCAGTTCATGGTTGTGGTTCAGTACATGTTCAAGACCCTTGCTTGACTAGAGTCTAACTTGACTGCTGACCTATGCTGGTGTGTCTGTGTTTGTGCTGGGTTTCCTTTGGCTTAATTTTCTTGCTAGTTTGCTTTACTTATTTGTTGTCCAAACCGCTAGCAAGGTGCTCTAACACTAATGGTTTACCAAAGAGCATGGTTTTACAAGTTGGGAAACATTTGACATTTTTAAAAGCTCTTTATGTAATTCATTGTCATGAATGTTCTTTTTCTGATAAGATGTTTCTTTTGTTTTGCCTGTTTTTTGGGTTGGTTTTTTTTGCAATGCAGTTACAAAACACATGGATTGCAGGAACTGATTCTGAGCAGAACATTCATTCACCTGTTTGTCAGATGAAACAGAGGATAAAGGCTGACTTTTTTATGCAGCTACATGGGCTTCAATACTTTAGCTTGGCTTTCTTCTCACACTGCTGTTATTTGAGTAATTCTACTGAAATTGATCCATTGATAGCAAATTAAAACAACAAGAAATGAGAAATAAGAACTGCGCATGTGGGAGAGCTTGAAGGTCTGCCTCCAGTTAGACAGAGCTCTCATTGCTGAATGATGGGACTTTCAAAACTACTTTGAAGTTGTCCTCATTCCGTTCCCCAAGAAGCCATAGCAAGTTTTTATGTTAGGGGTAGAGTCTTAACATGAGCATTCTTGAAATGCTCACTCAGTAAATAATGGGCTTGATATAAAGGTTGAACTTGGAAAAGAAAATATAGATTAATTTCCAAGGTTTGGGTTTTTTTTTTTTCCTTCACTGAAGTTTTTTTTATTATAAACTATTTATAGTGTCATGTAAGTATTACATTTTTTTCCCTGTATCTTCTGTTAAAAAATCCATGCTTTAAAAAACTCCCAGCTCTAAACTGTTTACTTGTTCATCACTGTATTCCTTCACAGTGATCTGTTGCCTGGAAAAGGATTTTGATAGCTCTTCAGCCACAAGATCTTGAGATAGAACTGAATAGGATATTAATTTGAAAGTGGATACAGCCTGTCTTCTTACCAATACTCTGTGTTTGTAATGCTGGGAGGGAAGTCTTAGGGGTCTTTTATTATTTGTGTACTTCTTTAAATTTCTTAATAAAATTTCTCAACCTTTTTATCCAGCAAGAAAAAACAAAGGATTAAAACAGTAACAAAATCATACCTGTAGAATACACTTAAAAATTATTTTGTTCAGTCATTTTATAAGTGTGTGAAAAGAGGAGACTGATTTATATTTCACCCTGTAAACCCTGTCATTTCTTTAGGAGTAACCGAAATTTATTTGATAGAACTAGGTACAATACGCACGAAGAGTGACTTAAAACTTGCAGGTTACATATGAGATCATTGTTTTTTCCACTGTCCAAGATAAAGGGCCAAGAAAAGAGTGTATTTCTTTATAAGATTAGACCTAATCTTTTAAGCCTCACCTCCCAAAGCTTTTTTCTTTGTTTGCTAGAAAGGTGAAGAAGCTATTGATCCTATTCACTTCACAGAAATCGGTGATGAAAAAGATGTGGCAAATTTTGCTTTAATCCTTCAGTAAAACTGTAGTCAATCAGAGAAGACTGGTGACATGCTCTGTTTGTGCTTAATATACTATTCCAATATTAAGTCTGCTATACAGTATGCAACTTAAAAGATAACAAAAGCATCCAGCTGATAGTTTTAAGTCAGTGGTAGATATCACATTTGTAGTAAATACAGGACAAGACAGAAATCAGTTTGCTGTCTGCATTTAGCATTTTCAGTTGCTTTCACAGTAATCTATAGAATATTGAACTTTACTAGGTAGGCAGGAACCTGTATTACATGCATCATTTCTCATAGCTGTATTTTTAGCTGTTTATGCTTCATCAGTGCTTCCTCAACAGTCATAAAATTAAATGAATTACATTTTTTGAGCTTGCTGTCCCATGTTTTTAATTTTTACCTAAGATAGTTCTTGGCACTTTTGGAAAGGAATTATCATGTCATGTCACGAGTCAAATTCAATGCATGTTAAACTCATATGGAAATCCAGATACCTATGACAATGATGAGGTAGCCATGCAATTGAGACAAAGCATTTTCCAGCACTTTCCAGGTTGGAGAACTTAGGTTCAAAGAACTGCCTCTTTTATTTGTAAAGTAATGGGATTTGTGGTGGACTTTAGCTTCCTGCCAGTGTGTGTTCTGTGGTCTTGGACAAAATTCCACCTGAGCGCTTTGTGTGCTTGATGGGTGAGTTTTTGAAGTGTGGTAGCTTGTTCTGTTGTGATAAGAACAACATTATCAACCATGGTCATTGGCCTGTGCTTCCGGGGTAGGTGTCCTGCCTCAGTTCATGGTGGATTGGTATCGGTGGCGATTTCACAGGAGCCATTTCTGAGAAGTGACCATCTCATAACTTAATTAAAAAGTAAAATCTTCTATTTAATATGGAATCTTCTCTTAATTAAAAATAGCAAGAGGTGACTCACAGGTTTTGAGGGAAATTGTTTTGCAAAATCTTTATTAGCAGCTTGAAAAAATTAATTACGTTCAATTTAAGTGTCAAAACTAATTTAAAAATGCGCATCTTCAAGTAATCATGTTTCCCAGTTTTTCTTATTTGTAGATTTACTACTCTGACTGCATGTATTTCTGTTTGTATATTCATATAAAAATATATTAAGGCCTTTATCTGAAATCAGTGAAACTTTTTCCATAGATTTAATTAAGTTTTCAATATGAACTAAAGTAATTTTTATCATTAAGGAATTATTGAAATAGTTTCTGCTTCTCCTTTCATCTGGGCCTGTTAAAATCCAGAGTGTGCCTGTCATTAGGACTTCTTTTGGCCAGGCTAAGTGGTTGCTTTCAGTAGATTGTAAATGATTATGCTTGGTTGTGCATGTAAATTGGAAATAGTTCGATGGTAGCAAAGTTTCTTTTGTGTAAATCTGCAGAGAAGACTCAGGTAAATCAGGCAGATCGATAATAAAATAGAAACCCATCAGTAGTCCTGTTAAACTGCAGTAGGTGCTCATTGTGCCTCCTGACTTACTAATATTGCTTGTAAACTTCATTCCAGTTGACCTTTAGAAGTTTCCAAAAGTTACAGTTTGCAATTCAGCAAGCTTGGCAGAGGAACATACATGATTATTTATATCATTGTCTAAACGGTAACCAGATGTGTCTTGTTTTTCTTCTTTCTTTCCCATTGTTTTTAAAAAGTGATGTTAATCCAAGCTGTTAATCCATCTACAGGGTTTTTCCACAGCACCAAATTCCCCTTCGGTGAATTCTCGTTCCAGTAGCCTGGGTCCATCACTGTCACTTGGTAACATCTCAGGAATGACAGCAAACCCAGAAGTGAAAAAGCGCAGAGCACCTCCTCCGCCAGTTGCGACACCTGCACTGCAGAACCTGGAGATAAGTGGACAAGAAAAGACAGCAGCACAGGTAACCGTGACACCACAGAGTGGGCTTCTTTGCTTGATGTGCTGGCTACCATCTGTTTATTCATCAGTCTCTCATTCACAGATATTTTGGCTAGACATTAACTACAGCTTACCAAAACTCTTGATCTTACAAAATAGAATTATCAAAAGTCTTGGAGTTTTGTATATATTTACTGAGCTTTCTTGAGACTGCTCCAAGTCTTCTCCCATGTCAAGAATCTTTCAAAATCAGAAAAGTTTTGAGGCATTATGTTAAAAGAAAAAGGGTGAAGAAAAAGCAAGGCAGAAAATGTGAAAATTGTATAGGGTGACTAGATACCCTTATTGGCCAGGGCAGTCAAGGAAAATAAGTGACAGTTCTAATGACTGACAAAAATCTGTGCTGTTTTGCCCAGATACTTGTCAGGCTGTCACCTGCATCCCTATTTCCAGTGCTGCCATGGGGTACCAGAAGATCTGCTCTGCTTTTTGAGTTGCGCCAAGTGACCTTTTAAAGCAGTGCTCTGTTTTTGCTTTTAAAAAAGGTCACTGTTCCACAATAGTAATGAAGAATTAAACAGAAATGGGGGTAAACATTTCTGAGGACCTAACCCTTTGAAAAGAATAGAGTTAAGGGAAAAGGAAATTGTTCTTGTTTTTTAAGTGACATTCAGGCATGTATGCTACTAAACATGTGCAAGCACATTAAGACTTCTGGTTCCACCATCAACAAAAAGTATTACATTCTAAATGTAAACTGTAGAAGTTGGTGTGTAAAGCTATATATTGATACCAAATAAAAATGCAGGGAGCAGGGAGTACCGCCAAAGTTGTGTAATGTGGACTTGACTCTATCTGCTTAGGGCTTATCATCTGTACAGCAGACTGATCTTTGGAAAGCAAACTGTTTAGTGCACAATTGCACTAAAGGAAGGAATCTTTGAGTTCAGTATAGTGGGGGAGGAGAAGTCTAGTGCTGCATTACACTCCCTGTCACGCTTTTATTTATCTGCATTAAGACATAGGTTAAGTGCCTTCTTCAGTGAAACACTGTGTAAGCAAAGTTGATGCTCTTGGCAAAGGATTGTGGAATCTTATTTTCCCATTCTTAGGATATCTGAAAGTGTGATTGCTGGAACATAATGGTGTTTCATCTTTCAAAAATGGAATAAGTGCCTTTGAAATAGCACTTATTTATAGACACAGCTGAAGAGAAACATTTTCTTGCAACATTTAGAGCACTTTTTTAAGATTTCCTTTTGAAATACCTACTGTAAATATTTTGATGAGGTTTCTTGTGTCCCCTAGAGTTAAACATTTAATGCGTTTAAGATAAATAGATATGTTATAATATGGCATTATAACTCTTAAGTTTATACAAGTATGGTAATTACAGAATAAATTATTCTGCCATTCTGTTAGGCTTATCTCCTGGCATTGTGGCATTGAGATTTTAAGTTGTTGTACAAAAAACACTGAAAATACAAACTCTCTTTAAACATGTTAACATTTCTATTTTCAGCATTGTTGTAAATGGATTCAATTGCTGGCTTTCTAAAGCCATTGGGAGAAGAGTATGTTATTTATCACAAGGGCCATAGAGTGTGGTGTCAACTTCAGATTCTCTTAGGCTAAAGAAAGAGCTGTTTTGAATAAGTGAAACAGATGAAGGTTGCATCAGAGGATTTTCTATGAAAAGAAATGTCTTGTGTAGCTGACAAAGCCAATGAAGAGCACAGTAGACTATGAGCACAGTTGCTGGTCTGTTTGGCTTCATTTGTTGGGTAAAGTGCATCTTTCTTAAAATGGTTGCATAGGTCAAAATACTGCACAGTTATGGTGTACTTCTGAAGCTCCCAGGCTGGAAGTTGGTCACAGGCTGCCCTGTAGTTCGAATAAGGATGTGTGGAACACAGTTGAAATGAAGCACAAATTCCATGAGACAATCAAAAACTGAGAGAAGAGATTAATTGTTCAGTATTATGTGGCAAGTTAGCAACAGGGATATTGTTTATAAGAAAAACCAGACAGCTCTGTTTTATCTACGTGCAGACTATCCAGTTTGCTGTGAAAATAGAGTAAAAAATCTCAGGGTGTAAGTTTATTTCTTTAGTTTATGGGAAAG